AACTTTTCAACAAACCAACCGTCGTCGCGTTAAAATTCAGGAAAGTAAAGCCTATTTTAGTGGAAAACATAAGTTGTGTGGTTTCAAAACGGAGGTTTCTGTCCTGGCTAATAGATTGGCAGTGGGTTGCTCAAGGCACTACACGGGTTTGACCGCAGACATAGATATTTTCTATCCGAATTTGGCGTGGCACAAGACTCCATCGCGCAAATCAGTTGATGAACGTAGTATTCCTGATGTGGGCTCTGCGGCGGACAAGTACCCTCGGTACTGGGCGGTTTTGATGGAAAAAGGTTACCAAGGGGCCGCAGAGAGAATGAAAGCCATCACACCTGTCAAAAAGTCTCGGGGGAGCGAGTTGAGTCGACACGACGAGGATACAAACAGAAAAATTGCAAGAGACAGAATTATTGCGGAAAATTATTTCGGCAGACAGTCCACGCTTTAGATGGTTGTTTCTAATAAGTTTCGTTGGTCTGAAGGAAATTATGATCCTATTTTTCTGTTAACGTTGGCCATGACGAATGGGCACATTCTGAAACACCCTTTACGTGCGGATGACGGCGATCTTTATCGCCAGTTTTTGAACCGAAGAGCTGAGATTGTCGAAACTACTGTAGAGAAAAGAAAGCGTACGAAGGAGCGCTATAGGGCCCGTCGCAGAGCGCGCCTAACTCAACAACTGGCCACAAGATCCATAATTGGGAGAGAGCTAGGGGCAGGGGTAGTGGAGGCTTCAAGTTTTGACGATTAGATAGTGTGCAATTGCGCAATATTTGTAGAAGTCAGCAGATAGACGTAGATATGTCGCAACATGCCAATACTGTAGGGGGGTTGCTGCGCAGTTACAGAGGTATTGCGCAACTATCAGTAAACAATCAAGCGGACTGTGTGGTTACGCATTCACAGCTCAGAAAACGGCATTTTCCCGTATTACGGAGATGCTTAATAACTGCTGTCAAGACCTATTCAGAAGGGTACTGTATAGCACTGCTTCCTGTGCACCGGACACCCTAATTCCCGCATCTCCCTGCCAGTTGTAAGCTTAAAATCTGCAGGATGAGTAAGTGAGTTAGTGTATGCCCCCACCATATCCTGCGATAAAGAGAAAGAGTGCAGATGTCTTTCCATTTGGACCTACTGCAGTGAATCGCGTGTCCTCAAATGAGGCTATTCTTTTTGCAAAAAAAAATGGGACTTTATGAAGTCAGTTGGGAAGCCATTTCTGTAACGTTCATGCTCTCGGCAATAACATTTTGCAAAGAATTGGGATAACAGTTTTGAATGCACAGACAGACTAAAAATCTAATAAAGTTTCAATCTTCGGCTGATATTTAAACAGGCCTTGCAACGTGTCTTATGTCACTCTCACATTCGTATACCAAATAATTCAGGGAGAGGCAAGAAATATTAATTCATGTCAAACGCCAGGAGAGTTTTCATAAAATTAATGGAGAGCTTTACGCTGCAACAAAAGTATAAGTAGAGGAGTAGTATAATGTTAGCAGAAAGAAAAAAGGACATCAGTTCCATCAGCTCGAAGTTCAGTTCCGTCCGACCAGTTCCCGCTACCGGCCTTTGGCTTTCGAAGCTATTAACACATAACGTTTTGCGGCTGGTCAAAAAGGATTCTTTTAGGCATTCTAAAAATGGCTGGAAAAGGCGTGTAGATCTCACTAAACTCCACTCTTCCGGCACGCAAAAGCCAACTTCGGTGGCGAAAATATCTTTTTGTTGAGCAAGCACAAGTCGAGAAAAAAAGTTGAAAAGTGACCTCATACAGTATGAGGTCACTTGTCGTCTATTGTCTATCCGACCATGCGTTATCAAAACAAACATAATTGCGAATTTTATTTGTTTTTAACTTTAATGGCCACGGTTTCAATTCTTTGGCAGGTTGACTCGTTTTAAAATTTATGTTAAGATAAAACCGAATACAAAACACTTTACGGAATGCCGCTATAGTACTATTGTAAAATTAGCCATAAGAAATGCTTAATGTATTCTGACTTTTTCTTTGATTCACGTTTATTTGCATCAACGAGTTGGTTTTCACTAGAATCGACGAGATATTGCTTTACCAGTGGTAATGGCCTTCTAGTTTCAAAAAACAAAAGTGGAATCGTGAGGTTGGTTGTCTAGAAAAAATAAAATACCTTCTGTCTTCATATGAGGACTAACGGTCCGATAGACACTAGACACTGGGGTCTGTCCTAACATGAGAACAGTGTTGGTTTTGTGAGAGAACGTTCCTGGTTGCAAAAAGAGATACATTAATCTTGTCCGTAAAATAATGCGTTGTTTTTTTCCATTTACCCACAAAGTCACTGGACGGTAAGTAAACCCGAGATTGAAGAAGTCCACCACAAGTTTTGCAAACTGACCTCTCGCAAATACCTGCCCGCAACAAACGCAAGTCTGGTACAACGTTGTGCCGCCCGACAGATCATGTGCAGCTGCGCGAATACTCGCTGAAGCGAATATTGTAGCTCACCAGAAGGATATAATGGTTCTCAGTCGAAAGGGCGATGTGTTTCGTCTTCTTGACAGGCTGACGGGGCCGTTTGGAGAGGACCGCTTTTTAGAAGCTTCTACTTGTCTATCTTTCGCGGTTGTTTCAGCGTCATATGTGGCAGATCTTGCGGTACTTTGATCCGTCGATGGACTCTGGGCAGATAAATTTAAGGGGCGGGGCGTCCAAAACGCAAACCGGTACGACCCGTGCAATCTGAGACTCGTTTGTGCTGATGAAAAAGCGGAAACCCCACTTCGTTTTCCTTCAGGACGGGTCGATCCGGCACTGCTGTGATCAGTCGGATGTGAAACTCGTGCAAAACTCACATGCCCCCAGTTTTCGGTATGCTGTGAGTTATGGCAACGCGTTGTCTGAAAATTTTGCGTTTAGAAAATCCGAGCAAACACGCCGCCAAAACACGCGTTTTCGTGATTTTACGGACAACCTTATTGAAATGCATATTTGGAAAGTGTTTATGGGCCCTGTTTTCTTGCGTACTTGTCCTCGGCAATTATATCATATAGAATGGAAAGGTAGCTGTTTCGAATTCATTGGAAGACTGGAACTATTTTGCATGTAAAATACCCGATTCTTATTCTTATTCTGATTCTTTGTTTTCGTTTCGAAGCTATGGTACATACAGCGTTTCAATGTGGGCAAAAAAGGCTTCTTTTCCAGTCCCCGCGTATACTAATTTCCGTGTCTGTCTGTCTGTGTGTTTGTGTATGTGTGTTCGTGCGCTCCCGCACGGGTTCTCATTGGCGCACGGGGGCGCTGCGGCGACAAGTGGCGGCCACGTGCGGGGCGGCCTGGCCGCAGGCCAGGCGGCCACGCGGACACGTGTAGAAAGCGGCGGGGCCATGATTTAAATTCATTTTTTACTACAGTGACAAGTGTACTGTGCGGACTGGGGGCGGCCTGACCGCAGGCCAGGCCGCCACTGGGACACGTGGCTACCACGGGCACCAATGCGGCACTACAGTAGTTTACGAATTTAAATTTAACACTACAGTAGAGTAAAAATAATAATACAGCCCCGATCCGCTTCGCGTTCGCTAGCGATCCCGGCGCACACCGTCTACGCGAAATCAGTAAGTTACTAACTGTCCTCTTTGATCCGGCCGGCTTGCCGCCCGCGGTATTAGAGCGCACGCGAACGCTTACTGACATTTGACGGTGTGTGGTTTTTTACGCAGTGTCTACGCAAGAAGAGAGAGAAGAACTACGCCGCGCGCGCCGCGCCGCGACCCCGATCCGCCTCTATTTCGGCGATTCCCCGCCAGCGACCACACGTGTCACAGTCCTACAACCAGCTCCTCCGCGCGCGCGCCCCACGTGTACACGTCCCCAGAATTGCGCGCGCGCACGCCCCACGTGTACCGCGCGCGCCGCTCCCACGTGTGCCACGGCTCCCACGCGCCCCTGCGCCAGCACCCGCACCACGTGTACCACGCGCTCCGGTCCCACGTGTTATACGTTTGCCCCCGCCTATCATTCCTACATTTCGTGGGCTACGTGTGCCACGTGCAATCGAGCGGCCGCGTGCGCGCGCGTTGCCAGCTGCACGTGTGCCACGTGCAATCGAGCGTCCGCGTGCGCGCGCGTTGCCAGCTGTCAGTGCTGTGTTGCGGAGTGTGCCCGTGTACACGTGTGACATCTGCAACTTTCATTGCACGCGCGCGGTACTGTGGGACGGGCATGCGCATACCGAGGGGCACGTGGCTCAAGTGATTCAAGCGGGCCGCACATTCCGCTGCGAGGTGTGTACGTGCACGGTGGCAAGTGCCCACGACTTTAGGCGACACCTGGCGCGCAAGAAGCACAAGAGGAAGCTCCAATCGATCACGGGATAGTACAAGACAATAAAGGCCCTACTGTTACTTCTTTTGCTAAGTGCTCTCGCGGACGACCTAGCTGGCTGACGTTGCGTTTAGACCTTTGAGGACTGCTTGCTACGACTCATAGCGATCTACAACGGACCCCTCGCACTTGCGTCAACCCTAGCTGCACTTGCTGAGATACCACTAGCGCGCTGGGCATAACACAAATGGCGGGACCAGCAGATGAAGACGTAGCAGAAGCAAGAAGGCAGCAAAGAAACGCGCGTACAAGGGCAAGGAGAGCGAAAGAGTCGGAATCTGAAGCTCAAGCACGTCGTGAGGCAGGTCGAGCTCGGGCGAGAATCCGGAGGGGACAACACACCGAATCTGAGGCTCAAGCGCGTCGCCAAACCGCCCGGGAACGTACTGCAGCACGAAGAGCAGCAGAGACTTCTGAACAGCGCGAAGAGCGTCTTCGTCGAAACAGGGAGAGGACCCGGGCGCGCAGAGCCGGTCAATCACGGACAGAGGGTCCCAGAGAGTCTCCAAAGCTCCGAGCAGCAACGGAACGTGCCAGAGCCTCGAATCGAGCATCTATGCAACGCACAAGACAGGCTGAGAGCACTCCTGACCGCATAACTCGATTGGAGGCCTCTCGTATCTCAATGCAACAGAGAAGAGCTGACGCGACAACCCCAGAGAGACATGAGCGTCAAGACTCAAACCGAAGATCCACAGAAGCAGCTAGAGCGGAAGAAAATACCCCCCTCCGAGATGCACGGCGCGAAGCGGATCGCAATGCGACACGAGGAGCTAGAGCCGAGGAAATTACTCCTGCTCGTGAGGCGCGGCGAGACCTTGAACGTCTATCCACCCAACGATCAAGGGATGCACAAGACACACCGACTCGGAATGCCCGGCAACGATCCGACGGCCAGGCTCGAACGGCTTCTCGGCAGCTCTTCCCCCCACTACCCGAATCCTCGCCTTCGTATTGCGATCTCGGCATGGTCCATATTGAGTGTTCGCACTGCAAAGCTCTGCATTTCGTCCAAGAACGCATCGTGAGCAGCTCTGCCGCAAGGCCCATGTTTTCCACATGCTGTGCGAAGGGGAAGCTGTCACTGCCCCTTCTCACCGACCCGCCAGCTCTTCTGCGCTCTCTTCTCATCGATGATACTCCAAGGGCCCGCCGCTTCCGTAAAAACATTCGAGCATACAATTCAGCGCTGTCTATGGCGTCCGTGGTCGCCAAATGGGTGAACAGAGGGCCCGGTACTTCCAATTTTAACCCCACAATGACGATGCAGGGCGAGATGTACCATTACATGGGTCCCATGATGCCATCCGAGGGGCGGGCGCCTTCCTTTGCTTCCGTTTACATTCACGACACTGACTACGGTACTCAAACGCGCACAAGGCTTGGCGGAGCCTCTACACGGCTGGAAGACACACTGTTAATGCAACTGACGCACATGCTGCACGAATGCAACCCCTACGTGCAGACTGTTCTCAGTATGCGAGAATGGGCTCAATCCCCTCAACCCAACACTCCAGCCCCGTACCAGATGGTCATCCATGCCGACCGCAGGCCAAGTCATGAGCACGTGCGCCGGTACAATGGTCCCGAAGCTTCTGAAGTGGCAGCATTGATCCCTGGAAATGAAGACGGAGAGATTGGGCGAAGAGATATCGTCGTGCGCAGGCGAGGGACTCTGAACAGTAACGGGAACGAAGTGCTGGATCCGATTTCAGTCAGTCATCGTGCATACGATCCGTTGAGTTACGTGCTTTTGTTCCCGAACGGTAGAGATGGATGGTATCCAGAGCTTCGATTCTCCAGTGATGACGACGGCAGATATACCAAGATTACTCCGATGATGTACTACGGATGGCATTTGTTCGAAAGAGCAGGCGAGTTCAGCACAATCTTGCACGCAGCGCGACTCTTTCAGCAATATTTGGTTGACCAGTTCTGCAAAGTGGAGGCAGAAAGGCTTTCGTATCTCCGCCACAACCAGACACAGCTTCGAGCCGCCGACTACACCTCACTGCGCGACAGCCTAGGAGACTCCGGTCGTGCTGAAGATGAAGCCGATGCTGTGCGTGCGGGACAACTGTTCATTCTCCCTTCCACGTACATTGGAGGTGACCGCTACATGAGGCAGCAGATGCACGACATCATTGCTATATCGAACCAAATTGGCCACCCGGACATCTTCCTCACTATGACATGCAATCCAAGCTGGCCGGAGATCACAAGACCCCTACTGCCGAACCAAACGCCTCAGGACAGACCGGACCTGTGCGCACGTGTGTTTCGTCTCAAAATGAAAGATCTCATGTCCTTGGTCATCAACGAGGAAGTATTCGGAACCGTCGTTGCCCATGTACGAGTCATCGAATTTCAGAAACGCGGTCTTCCCCACGCTCACGTTGTATTTTTCCTAGATGAAGTCTCCAAGAATGATCTGCGTACTCCCGAAAACGTCGACCGCATTATCTCTGCCGAGATCCCGTCTGCCCAAGATCCAGAACTCCAAGAGGTCGTGCTCAAGATATGATTCACAATCCATGTGGAGAACGCAATCCAACAGCCGTGTGCATGGGCGAGCAGTACTGCAGGAAAGAGTTTCCAAAATCGTTCAAACACGAAACCAGCCAGTCCGACAGTGAGCACTACATCACGTACCGCAGAAGGTCCCCCTCTGCAGGTGACGTCTCCATCGAGCGACCCTCCCGTGTTGGCCGACGACAGCAATCCGTCGTGGTTGACAACTCCTGGGTCGTTCCCCACAGTCCTCTGCTTCTACGATCATTCGCTTGCCATTTGAATGTGGAACTCTGGGTGTCACGCGTTGGCGGAATCAAGTACCTCTTCAAGTATGTTTGCAAGGGACAAGACCGAGTGACCATGGAAATCACTGCCGAGAACGAGTGCCACGACGAGATCTCCAACTTCCAAGATGCCAGATACGTTTCGGCATCGGAGGCCGCATGGAGGTTATTCTCCTTTGACATTGTAGATCGCAATCCTCCAGTGGTCAGACTTACGGTGCATCTGCCCAACCACCATACAGTATACTTTGAGGAAGGGCGAGAGCAGGAGGCGGCGCTTCGACCAGCATCAGGTACGAAGCTGACCGAGTGGTTTAAAGCCAACGAGAAGTACCCAAGCGCGAGGCATCTTCGGTACCACAAGTTTCCAAGGTACTTTACGTGGAAGACACGCACCAAGTCATGGAGTCCAAGAGCAACCCTGCGAAGACGGAACGCCACCAGCGAAGAGGAAGCCTACGATTTCAGTGGTACAGGTGCCAACGTAGTCGGTCGAATCTACACTGTCAGTCCGAGGGAGGGTGAGCGCTACTTTCTTCGCCTCCTCCTCACACAAGTGCCAGCGGCAACATCCTTCGAGAACTTGCGAAATATCGACGGCGAGCAGTGCACCAGCTTCCGACAAGCTTGCTTACGACTCGGTTTGCTGGCCGACGATGCCGAGTGGAAGCACGCAATCCGAGATTCATTCCGGTCAAGCTTCGTTCCTCTTTCTCATCTGTTTGCTACGATTCTGGCACACTGCCAGCCTTCGGACCCTCTCTCGCTGTGGAACGACCACCTGGACATGTTTCTCACCGATATTCGCAATCGTGCACGCAGACAACCCATTCGAAGACAGCAGCTTCGCGATGATCACCACGCCACATCTTACGTACTTCGAGAGGTACAGGAGGCTCTGCAGACCGTGCGATCGGACTGGACGCTCGCAAACTTCGGACTCCCACTGCCCGATGACAGCCTGCCCGCTTTGGAACAGCAAAACGAGATCGAGACCCCCGAAGCACGAGCGCAGCAGTGGGAAGGGCGACTACAGACGTCGTTGCCGCTGTTGAACACAAATCAACGTCATGCCTTTGACGAAATAGTGGGCTCCTTGCTTCCAGGCGTATCCGTCTCTGCATTGCTTCAAGGATCCTTAAGCGCCGTTGCGGGACCTTCTATGCCGACACGAAGTGGTCGTCTCTTCTTCCTCGATGCTCCTGGCGGAACAGGCAAAACATTCGTGCTCAGCGCCATTCAAGACTTCCTTCGTACGCGCCGTAAGCAGGTCATCGCTGTCGCTACGTCTGCTGTTGCTGCTGTGCTGCTCGACGGTGGACGCACCGCTCATTCCGTGTTCAAGATTCCCATTCCTGTATCTGCCGAAAGCACGTGCAGCTTCTCCGCAAACTCCGACACAGGCCGTACACTGCAACAAGTCGATCTCATCATATGGGACGAGATCGTCATGTGCCATCGACATTGCATTGAGACTGTCGATCGCTCCCTTCGCGACTTGATGCAAACCGACCGGCCCTTCGGAGGAAAGTTCCTCGTGCTCGCTGGAGACTTTAGACAAATCCTTCCCGTCGTTCCGGGCGGGTCCAGAGGTCAAATCGTGAGTGCGTGCGTCAAGGCTTCCCCGCTGTATCGAGAGTGCCGATTCCTGCGCCTTACCGAGAACATGCGCCTTGCTGCTCTCCGAGCGGACCCTGCAGCAGATGTGGAGGCTCTCAACTTTCCAGAATTCCTCCTCAGCGTCGGGGAAGGCAGACTTCAAGGCGAACAGCGCCCGGAATGGATCTCACTACCACAGTCCGTTGCGTTCGAGCACACCATCCGCAATTTATGCCTCAAGGTCTTCCAAGGCATTCGAGACAATCACGCCGACCCTGCCTGGCTCACCAAGCGCGTTATACTCACCACAAAGAACAGGCCGCTCGAGGAAGTCAACGAGGTCATCGGCAACATGATTCCGGGATCGTATCGAACGTATTTGAGCGCAGACAAGGTCGAGAACGAAGACACCAACGCGCTGATCTATCCCACAGAAATGCTCAACACCTTGATCGCCGGATCTGCTCTACCAGACCACAAGCTCAAGCTCAAGAAAGGCTTCATCGTCATGCTTCTGCGCAATCTCGATCCCGCTACCGGTGACGTCAACGGCGCGCGATATGTCATCGAGAACATGACCAACAACCTGCTCTTTCTACACGTTACCACCGGGTCACACCAAGGCAACAGACTGTGTCTTCCTCGAATGCCCTGCGGACCAGGAGACGACAACTTTCTCATCCCTGGCTTCACCCGAACGCAGTTCCCCATTCGCACGTGCTTCGCCCTTACAACGAACAAAGCGCAAGGCCAATCCTTCAGTGGCCGCATTGGTCTCGACTTACGAGATCACTGCTTCTCGCACGGTCAACTCTATGTCGCACTATCAAGGACTACTCACCCAGGCAACGTCACTGTCCTCACTCGAGAGTCCAATGAAACCACGCGAAACGTAGTGTACCCCGAGGTCCTTCAGTAGTTACCAAAAAAAGTAAACGCCATTGTCTTTACATATTTTCATTGCCACCCTTCCCAAATAGTGTTCCTCCACGCTTCCTTGGCTCGGCGCGCGAAGCGCGCACGGAGCCCACTTGTCTACAACTACTAAAATCCGTGTCTGTCTGTCTGTCTGTTTGTCGATCTGTCCGTTCACGCGTTGCCATTGGCGCACGGGCGACACGTGGCGGACAAGTGGCGGCGGCCACGGGGACACGTGGCGTGACAGTCTGTGCGTCTGTGCGTTCCCGCGTTGCCATTGGTGCGCTCTGTGGAAGCCGCTGTGCTGATTGGTGCGCCTAATATTTTCCATTTTCCGATGTGCCTTTTCGCGGGAAAACAAATTTTGGGCGCACGGGGGCGACATGGTGTACACGTCACGGCCACGTGAGGGGCGGCCTGGACGCAGGCCAGGCCGCCACGGGGACACGTGGCGATGGCAAGTGGCGGGGGGCTGCGGGGCGGCCTGGCCGCAGGCCAAGCGCCCACCAAGGACACGTGGCGGCTACGGGATGGGCAGAAATTACGTGGGTCATTTAAAAATTCCGCATGACCTCAGAGGCGGCAGCGGCGAGGGGAAACGGTGTGTCACTGGCGGGGGGCGAGGGGGCCCGCATGGCCCGCATGGCCACGCTATCGCGAGGGTCGTGCACGGTGGGTGAAGGCAGAGGCCGCTGACGAGGCCCGAGAGGTGGGTGCGGAGCGCGTGCGGATGGGGCCGGACCGCGCCCGGGGGGGAAGGGGGTGGCGGCGCAAGAAGACGCGCGCGGGTGAGGGGGGGCCGGGAATTGACGCCCAGGCGGTCGCGCTGCGCTCCTTCCGCGGGGTTCGCAGCGTACGAGAGGGAAGATTGACTAAATGCGATGACTGTGGGTGCGGGAGCGGCACCGCGACGGACGAGAAGGAGGGCCTACGGAAACGGCGTGCAGAGGGGAAGGTGGCTGTGATCGGCTTGATCAAGAAGAGGCGGGCAGGCGGGGCATGGGGGAAGCGCATCATAAGGGGAGGAGGGATCGTAGGGCGGTCAAAGGAGGCAGGAGGGGAGGGGAACCAGGAGAGCGGAGGGCGGGAGAGTCGCTGAGAGCGCACGCGACGAAGCAGGGGCAGCGGCTGCAGCAGCAAGGGTGGGGACGTCGGGAGCAGTAACTGCAAAGGTCGGAGCAGGAAGCCGAGCGGGAGGTGCACAGGCGGCGAAATGGGTGGAGCGGAAGGCGAGGTGGGGGTGCAAGCCCGGGCACGCGAGGCGACGGTTACTTGGGAGCGGCAAGAGCAGCAGCAGGGGCGGAGGCCGGCGACGGAGAGGGCAAGGCCGCCGCAGGGCGGGAGGGAGCGGGGCGAGCCGCACGAGTAGAGGGGCCGGGTGGAGTAGGGCGGGGCGGCGGGTGAGGTGTGATTGCGCGGGCGTGTGCCTAGAGCGTGAGAGCCATAGAATAACGAAAGGATAGGGGCACGGAAGTGGGAGTGCGGGGATTGAGGAAGCGAAGCGCCTCGCGGCGCAGGCGCCAGGCAACGCGGGCGGCGGCGAAACAGTCGAGAGCAGAAGCGGGGAGAGGGAGGGGGCAGTATGGGCGGGGGGCCACGGGTTCGCCGGTACGGAGGTTGAGGCGGACGGGAGTGCCAACCGTAGCGACCAGGGTAACGGCCTGGGCAAGGGTGGCGAGCAGGACTGAGGCGAGTGTGGCGAGAGCAGCGCGACCTGCAGCCAGAGTGAGCACGGAGGGGCGGTACGCGTGGCAGGACGAGTGGGAAAGGGGCGACGAAGACCGGAGAGAGGACGAGAGCAGTAGCGAAGAGGACGGGGGAGCAGCGGGGCGGGGAACGCCGGCAACGATGGTGGACCAGAGACGAAGGGACGGCGGAGCGGGAGGTGCGGGGCGAGGGGCGGAAAAAGAAGGGATTTGGCTCGGCGCGCGAAGCGCGCACGGAGCCCACTTGTCTACAACTACTAAAATCCGTGTCTGTGTGTGTCTGTATGTCCTTGCGCTCCCGCGTTGCCATTGGCGCTACCGTGACAAGTGGCGGCCACGGGCGGGGCCTGGCCGCAGGCCAGGCCGCCACGGGGACACGTGGCGGTGACAAGTGCCGACAAGTGTAACATTTTAAATTAAAATTACTGTGCGGACTGCGGGGCGGGGTCCCACTACAGTACAGGCTGACAAGTGGCGACAAGTTAAATTTTAAAATTAAAATAACTGTGCGGACTGCCGAGTGCGGCCGAGCTACAGTACACTACAAATTTTAGCCCGGATCCGTTTAAACCGCGCCACGCGGATCTACATTGTGGGCGGAACTGGGGCGGGCACTGCGAGCACGTGACGGCGGTGTGGTAGATGGACGCGTACGACAGGGGGTCGGACGCGTGAGACACGGGGCTGCCCGAAATACCGGAGGCTCGTGGCGACGTGAGCGGGGCGGTGGTGCGCGGGGGGCTGTGCGTGGGGGGCTGGAATTCTTCAAGGCGGAGTTGCGCAGCGCGTGGTGCTCCCACTTTGGGGGGCGGATGTGGATGCGCGGCGACGAGGAAGTGCGGGCCGGGGCGGCGACGGGCGGCGATAGGAACGATGGGCTGCAAGATGATGGTGGGCGGAGGGCGGTTTTGGGTGTGCGGCGATGACGTGGAGGAGATGTGGGCTGGGGCAGCGATGGGGACGGTGGGGGAGGGTAGGTGGGGGGCGCCGAGGCGGGGCGGCATGGATCACCACACTCGCGCGTGCTCGTGGGGGAGGGGAGGGCGCGGGAGCGGACCGGGCCAGAGCTGGACGGCGTGGAGTACTACAAGGGTCTTCAACCGGGCGCGCGTGCCGGGGGGCGGGGGAGGCGGGACGGCGAGCGGGCTTCAACCGGGCGCGCGTGTTGGGGGGCGGGGGAGGCGCGACGGCGAGCGGGCGCTAACTGGGTTGCTCAGAGACGGTGACGGACGTGGTGTGCCGGGTAGCAGCGGAGGCAGGCGTTGACGCCGTGGTGGGCGAGTGCGGCGGGTGGGACGGGCGTGCGCGCGAGATCGCGGACGCGGTGTGCATGCAGCTCCACGCAAAGCGGTTCCAAGCGGCGGCGGAGACTCTGCTGGACCGGCGGGCGGGCGAAGCGCGCGTGGTGGCGAGCTGTGTGGAGCTTCTGCGCAACATGAGCGGGCAGCACGCGGCGAAGAGCGCCGTGCGCGGCGAGATGTGGCGGGCGACGTGCGTGGTGGGTAGCAGTGGCGGGGCGGACGGACGCGGGCGTGGCAGAGACGTTCTGTGGGCTGGTGGGCGGGGTGTGCCTGCGGCGCGGGGACGTGGTGGACGGGTGCGCTTGGGAAGTAGCGGTCGAGGTAGTGGTGTGAGCGGTCGCGCGGAGGGCGGCGGCGCGGGCCGCGCGCATCACGGAGGTGCGAAGAACGTGGAAAGTGGTCGCTGCGAGCCGGGCAGGTGTCGCAGCCGGCGGTGCAGGAGGGCGCGCGCAGGCGGGTGGGGGCCGGGAGCCGCCGCCAGGTAGCAGTGTTAGGCGGAAGCGAGCGGCGGCGTGGAGGGCAGCGGCGCTGACCATGTTTGCGGGCTGCAGGGACCGAACGGCGGCCTGGGGGGAAGGCGACACAGGCGGGCGGCGGCGCAGAGGGCGGCGGCGCGGACCGGGCGCGACGCGCAGGGGCGAGTAACGTGTGGCAGGACGAGGGGGCAAGGGGCGACAAAGACCGGAGAGAAGACGGGAGAGTTAGCGCAGAGGGAGGGGGAGCAGCGGGGCGGGGAACGACAGCGTGTGCAGAACGAGGAGCGGAGGAGGAAGGGACTTGGCTTGGCGCGCGAAGCGCGCACGGAGCCCACTTGTTTTATTCTAAAATAGTGTTTACCATAGTACAGTATGTACTGTAGAGGGAGCATCGTCTCGGGCGCTTCAATTCACATTCCTCTCAGGACCGACTCCCAACCTTCTTGCTACAGTACTTCCGTCCCGGTCGCTGCGTTAAGAGCGGCCTGACCGACACTTGTGAAGACCTCTGCACCATCCGCCAGTTGAGACGGTGCCAAAGAGCCTTCGTCATCGCATGGTTGCGTCCGAAATTTTTTGACAAGACACAAACGACCCACTTTGAGAGCACCAACAACTGCAATATGTTTATTCTCGCGCCCCCCGCATCGCTCGCTTTTCGTACAAGGCATGCACTACACCGGAAGGTTGCCACCGTCAGGTGGCGTGCTTGCACAACGCCCGCCATCAATTCGCGCCCGAGGTCTGAAACGAGGAATCGCGACGTCGCTAAGAGAAAGGTCGCCTTGTTGGTCGCCTACGACGGAGCGAAATACCACGGCCTGCAGCGGAATGCCGGCGTTGACACAGTTTCAGATGTCCTAGAAACCGCTCTGCATGGCGCAGGCGCCATCTCCGATGACAACCTCGGCTTTCTGCCAAAGATAAAGTGGCAAGTCGCGGCCCGCACGGATCGCGGCGTCAGCGCCGCGGGGAACGTCGTGTCCGCAAAACTTCTTTTCAACAAGGATGAACAGGAAAGCGGCGCTGCCTTTGAGCTGACCACCGCGCGCGTCAACGCCGAGCTCCCCGACCATGTGCGACTGTTCGGCATCAAGTACACGACCAGCAGCTTTTCGGCAAAAGCGTCTTGCGGAGAGCGCTGGTACGAATACATGTTGCCCTTGTCCGCTTTGCGTGGTCACAAGTCACTCGCACAATTTCGTGACACTCTCAACCTCTTTGAAGGGTCTCATCGTTTTCACAACTACACAGTCGGCCAGGATCACACCATTCCTCCGAGACAACAGGCTATGCGCTACATCACAAAGGCTACCTGTGACATGGAGCCGGTCCATCTTGATAGTCCTTTGCTGACCGATCACGCACAATCACACTGGGTCCGAATATATGTAAGAGGTCAAAGCTTTATGCTGCATCAAATTCGCAAAATGGTGAGCGCGGCAGTACTCATTCACAACTCCGATGCCCCCGAGGATACCGTCCAAAAATCCTTTGAACAAAACGTATTAATCAATGTGCCCCCGGCTCCAGCTGTAGGCCTTTTCCTTGACTGCTGTCACTTCCGGTGGTACAACGAACGACACAAGGAGCGGCTTCCAGAACCTCTCTCACTTCACAGTTTTGAGTCCGCCCGCGAAAAGTTCAAGCATGAACATATCTTTCCTTCAATTGCTCGCAGGGCCGCCGAAGACGATGCTTTAGAAGCATACTTTCGCACAGCAGAGAAACATCCCATTCAGTTTTCATAAAGTCCAACAGAACAATATTTTGTCCAACTCTGTTGGTATGTCGCTGAAGCTATGTCGCCAATTGACCTGATTATGACTGCCCCGCATACGTAGCTCGGCTCCGTGCGTAGTGCAGCAGAGAGTAGTGGCCTCTTGTCGATTCATGAAAGTGGATGACTTCCGAAACAGGACATAAATACTCAGACAGACTTGCCTCAAGCATACGGACAAAGTCTGATATCGGGCAATGGCGCAAACAATTCGTGAGAAAGTACTTTTAAGGGTTGAGACAGACTTCAAATCTCAAATTCTACAATGCTCTGCTTCGACAACAAAAACAGAACAAAATGTCAAGCAAATGGCACACACAGTGCATGGCACGCCCGCACGATTCGCTAAACTTCCACGAAACACAGGCCCGCAGTAGCATTGTTTTGTCGACAAGAACAGCCTCGGTGGTCAACGACTTGTTTCGCCTAAGTCTCAACAGGATAACAATATACGGTTAGAGGCATCCCTACTCAAACTTGGACAACGCTGCAGAGTCATAACCCTCTGGCAAAGGGTCAATGCCGAGGGCCTGGCGCGGGGTAAGCCTATTCTTGTAGAGGTCGAGGACGGTGGAATTGAAAAAGTTCTTCTTAGGTGGGCCAGTCGGTGGTTTTTCGTATGACATAGGAACTAGCACCGACGAAATGACATGAATGACGCCATTAGTACACGGAATATCTGCTTTCACGACAGCGGCAGATCCAGCCGAGATCCTCTTGCCATAGCCCATTAGAGAGATTGGACAACCTGCCGTAGTAACGAAGTCCATCTTTCCATTGGCAAGAATCGCGCCTGAGGAGACGTCCCCGGCGATGACATGGTGGGCCAACACCTTCTTCAGCTCCCCGCGGTTTTCGGGGCGAAGTAATGGAGCGAGAATCTTAAAGCCATGGGGTTCGAGCAGAGAAGCGAAAGCGGTATCCGTGGGGGCGAAGACCGTGAATGGACCACCTTTGGCAAGCTCATAATCGAGACCGGTCTCTCGAAGAAGACTGACCAGCGTGGAAAACACAGGCACGGAAGCGGCTGTTTGGACAATGTCGGCTGTCTTGGATTCTCTGAAAGACTGGCCCACGGGATCACCGCCATACGGCACGCCAGCCGCGCCGTAGCCGCTGCCTGTATACGGGTAGGTGATGGTGCTCATTCGCACTGACGAGCGACGCACGGTCTGCGTGGCGGCGGTAGGTCGCAACGCGGTGAGGTTATCACGGCTGCCGACGGTCGAGCCAGATACGGTGGCCAGCCCCGAAGTAGGTACGAACGCCTTCATTTTCTTGCCTGTTGCAGTTTTGAGCAGTTTTGAGACGATGGGGAGCGCGTGTGCAGGTTGTCGTGGACTTTGCAGGTGGAGGGGAATGGTGGGAAACCCTGAGGATGAGATGCCTGAGACGGGCGTGGGGTTGGGATTCCTTAATGGTGGTGAAACTGCAATACTGTTGTATGGCGACGAGAAGAGATCTGATTATCACAGAGCAAGTCAGAGCGATTATTTTCACATATTTTTGTCCACAACAAACCCTATCCTTGAGAGGTGGTTGACCACCTCACCTCGGAGATCAGGTTTATCCTCTCGGTAGCCCTTGTCCTCCTCTGGCTTTACACGTTGCACACTGGCACGACCCACCCGAGTACAGTAATGCACCTGATACACGTGTGATACGATACACGTGTGATACGATACGTGTCCAGGTAAACTGTATCCACGTGTACTTGTACCAAAACTCTCGGTGCACTCTGAGCGCGTCTCACGATCCCTTTTCAGCCTTCCTCTCAACAAGCACTCGAAGCCCCACCTCATTTCGCGTCTTTCGAGCTGAGAGTATCTCTCCGTTGTGTAGCCTTGCGCAGCAGAGAAAACGGCGAGCGAAGCTCTCTCACTCACACGACATGGTACGTGAAAAGTGTCGTAGCATGATACCTTTGATCGCAATTCTTGCACGAGCTGTTCTCTAACTTGGCGCCATTTCCCATCCCTCAGAGCAGCGGCGATAAGCCACAGCGCAAGTCGCAAACGCCAAAGGTGATTCTCGACCTTTCGAAACACGCCGACAAGGAGGTTCAAGTCCGGCTATCTGGCGGCCGTCAGGTCCACGGTATATTGAAAGGATGGGACCAGTTGCTCAACGTCGTCCTTGACGAAGCAGTCGAAGATCTCAGAGGTATGTCTCTGTAAATCTGTCTTCTATCGTTCGTCCGCATCTTAAGAAGCGGTATCACGCCTGTGTCGTTGTGAAACTAACTGTCTTGGTCCCTGCGACGGTTTGCGAAATTCATCATCTCAGATCCTACGGACCCGTATCGACTCAGTGGCAAAGAAAGGAAGATTGGCCTATTGGTAGCACGCGGCACTTCTGTAATGACTATCTCTCCCGTGGACGGCGTCACGCAGATTGAAAATCCATTTGTGCAAGATGGCGCTCAGTGACAACCCTGGATGTGAAGATGTCACTCAGTTAGCGACATGCTGACGACGCTTAGGTGGCACAGAAATCCAACTCCTACGCCTCATGTCGATTTTCGAAACCCCAGCACTTCCTACAGCAGGATTCCTCTGGAGTTATTGGAACCAGTAGTAGCTCTCAATATGTTTGAAGTACATCAGGCGGACTTCCGCATGACACCCGGAACTGCAGTTTAATTCTAAACCAAAAAATATTGATGAGCTGTTTGCCAGGGAATGGAAAGTGCTTCAGCAGTAGTGCTGTCGGAGTGCTTGACCCTAAAACTAGATTTTTCACGATGTTTACACCAGCAGTGGCCCATGACGTACCACTGGTGTCAGCATGTGTTTCTTCATGGCTGAGTTCTGCTTGGCCGCACCTCATGCCTCATACCTTCAGTTTCTCGCCCTCGTCTACTAAGGACAGCAACATTTGCTCCTCCCCTGCCAAATTCAACTTTTTGCTACAGATCTAACGTCGTCTTGCCTTAGTCTCTCGAATGGTGCTGCGACATGCACGTTTAGTCACCCCAGGGAAACCAAGTACGCCAAGGAAACATATACTGCCACCACAGAAGCATATCCCACTCACAATGGAGAGTAACCCCCTTCATCCGCTGGTGATACCACTCTACGGCTCTACGACCCATTTTCCATGGGGAACGCCAGGGCAGCAATCCCTTGCTGCCCACGTGGGATCCCTGAACCGGTTTGGTGCCATCGATCCAGAAAAGCCCTACAGCGAGTTTGTCATCACCACGCATTCGCAGCACAGTGAAGCTGTCCTGGCTTCTACTCCCTCTGTCTCTCTGCGCGAGCACATACATAACCAAGTTATAGAAGTTGATTCCTCTGTGGTCGATTTTTACTCGAAATTGCACGCGAAAGGCATTCCGTATTCTCTGAAAATCGCATGTGTTTCTACACCCCAAAGTCTACATGCGCACCCAAGCGATGCTACGGTCAAGGCATTTGCATCGCAAGAGCCCTCCTCGGGCATGGACACCACCTCTAAGTCAGTCATGCTGGTTGCTTTATCCAAAGTCGATATGCTTTTCGGTTTCCAAGCAGCGTCCGACATTGTGAACGAATTGTCTAGGGTCCCAGAGTTTGCAGCTGCAGTTGGTCGCACAGAAACAGATCAATTTGTGCACATCGTGAAGTCAGCCAAGGTCAAACATTCACATATCCGAGTGATATTCACAAACTTATTTTCTCGGACACGCGAGTTCATGCAGAAATGCCTCTGTGCCACGATAGAACGGATGGAAAGAATGCCAGAAGACGCTCTGACGGAGAAAGATATGCAACTTGTGGAACTGCACAAACTGTATCCCGATGATCCCGCTTGCTTTTCTGTATACTTCTTGAATCACATTCATCTCGAGCCTGGAAACGCGGTTTTTGTTCATCCCCAGGAACCTTACTCCATCCTGAAGGGCCAATATATCGAAGCCTCGTCGTGCAGTGAATCTAGTGTTGATGGCGGTCTGACAAACGAGGAGGTCCGAATACCGCAATTCTTGGAATCTCTGAGTTACGACGACTCTGCAGTGGAAGTAAGTGTTGCAAAGACAATGTCATTCATAAATACCATGAACCAGTTGAATGCGCGTGTGTCATCATTTGTTAGTTCAGAGGATCTAACCTTTTGCCCTTTTGTCGCAAATTTACAGGTTTCAGACGGAGAACGATTCAGCGACTCCGGAGTGTCCTTCGTTCCACCAGTTCCAGACTTCCAGCTGCTTGAATTCAAACTGCCGCACAATACTGCTCAGCAAATGGCAGAGACAATGTACGTTTTTTTGTTGTTGTTTGCCTATCTTCAAAATTGCAGTGTCTGTATTAGATCAGTCCAGAATCAAAATCTAACCCGACTTACTTTCACGTTGCTTTCTATATCTACATCTCTTGATCTACTGGGATTTGCGTAGTGCGCCATCCTTATTGCTTGTGCTTAGTGGCGAAGGAGTGATCCAAACAGAAGGAAAGAAAGCGCTACTGCCCATGAGGACAGGGTCTGTATATTATCTGAACCCACAAACCAAACTCTTAGTGACTTCTAACGGAGGCATCGGTTCAATGCTGCACTTCATACAAATCGGCGTGAACGAGTCTTCAGTTCTTCACAAATCATCATCTTGCACAGTCATGTAGATAGTAGTGGCAATGACCGCGAACTCCATGTTATATTTCTCCCGTCATTAAACCTTAAGCTAGGTCGCTCCTTATAGCTGCCAGCTCGTACATTAGGAGCTGTTTTCGCATGGATGTGCTGCTGATATTGTTCACTAGGCGAAACGGCTCATCGAACAAATACGGTGCCCTCCTGACATTAACCCGTCCGTGGTCTGTTTTCCGCGCTTGGTTGCGGGTAACATCAGGATGATTCGGAACAACGACGTATTTCGTACCGGCTTTTCGAAGCGCCTTGAGGAGCATCCAAGATTCCTTGGGAGGCATATAACCTATTCCATACCACACGAAAGCTAGGTCTGTTCTTGGGAGCTTCGATGCCCAGAAAGTGGAATCTTTTCGAGACACAGCAGACCCAAGATCTTTGTAGTTAAGCACAGCTGTCACCAGATGCTCATCATCAGGGACTACGCAGCGATAATGAAACTTGGGTATCTCAAATTCTAGTCTTTGCAGTAAAGCAGGCATCCATTGAATGCTTGTTGTGCATGGCACGTCAAGTAGACTCGAAATCTTGTGGGTGACAATGAGACGATATAGCATGTACGAAAGACGCGTCACATCCTCCGCCTCAAACAACTGTGCATTCTCTGCTCGTTTCTCTATGCCCTGAAATTGACGCGAAACCTCTTCAGTGGTGTTTGTATTCAAGAAAGAAAAGTTGCCTGGCTTGCTTTGAATATCAAGGTTGACATTAGGAACATCATGTTTTAAATCGCCTGTGGTTTCGTCTTCACTTGACTTTAAGGATTTTCGCTTCTTCAAAGCGTCTTTTAAAGCTTTGTCCCCTGCGAACTGACGGAAGCCCTCGATTCCTGCGGAAATATCACTCTTGTTTTTAGTATTGCCAGAGAAGAACTCTTTCGCTGCAAATTGTTGAGGAGACTTTAAAACATTTTGTGTGGCCTCATCTGAGGGTGATGCGTTCAAAGGAGCCTCATACTTCTCATGAGCTTTTCTTGCCGTGCTTTCATTCTTCATCGAAACGTTGGTAACGATTTGACTGCTGTTGATGGGGGTGTCGGCTCTAAGCGTCGGTGTCGTTTGCATGGAAGGCTTAGACGTGTTCCCGGTCAAATCAGGGGATGAAATAGGTTCTTTGTGAGATGCCCCACGGATTTCGACTTCCATAACTTCTTTCGCAATCTTTAAATCACTATGATGAAGTTCATGAGATGGAGAGATTATTGAAGCTGAGTCATCAATAGTTAATGGCAGCAACTGTTGACTGTCTTTTGATGCATCCTTTACCATGCCTTCAAACAGAAAGGTTGCAATGATGATACCGACAGTGAGGGCATTGACAATACTTTGCGCGCTCACCCACCATGCCTTCTCTCTCAAGGTTCGGAAACGCCGACGGGGACTCATGGGTATCTCATAAAGCAACACAGCATAGATGTGAGTTTGCCCAGGGGAAACGAGAGTGTAGCAATGGTATATCCTTCTTTATTCATATATACAAACCCCGCCGGCTGATCGGACAGTATAGAGTTATCATGGAAAACTTGTTTTATACTTTGAACTGCAGGTGTGCATCTGGTTGCCGAAGAAAACAAGAAAAAACAAGAACAGCAGAATTACCAGTGTAGGCCATGTACTTGCGCCGAAACGGGCGTGTCGCAGATTGTTGTTTTAAACAAATTGCTCCCGATTGACAAATCAGAAAACACGGCTGGTAACGGTGCAGGCTCTGTCGGGTAAGCCAGAATGAATCATATAGTTGCAGAGGACATCGCAGTGGCATGAACAACGGCGCCTTCTCACTAAGCTCGAAAATGCACCAAGTCAATGCTTCACTTTATGTCAGGACAATTTCTAGACAATATCAGCGAGCTTAAACTTGTTCCCCCCAATCCCTCCTCCAACGGTAGAATTAATGTGTGGCGCAGCCGCCTCCAACTCCTGCACTACGCCCAAAACTTGCGCCTCGGATAGACCAGTAACGTCGCGAACCTCATACACTCCTCTTTCTGTATGTGTTACGAGGAAATTGCGCGAAGGGTCCAAGTTAGAGAAGAGATTATTCAAAGATTAGTACTGTGTGATGAATTGGTTGCCTTCTCCTCTCGAAACATATCTCGCGCGCAATGAACTATTCGAACTTGTAGACTCACCATATCTCGCAGCGACATGGGGCTGGGCACCATCGCTAGGTCGCATGTAAATTGGGAGTCCCGGATTCAGCACTTTGAACGTTTTGTAATTGTTCTTGATGAAGTCCCTGTTCGCCCAGCGTGCAATATTCCGTTCGCAGTGAGGTTGTGATCAGCAAGTACTTAAGCCGTCAGTTCTTGCCTCTCTTTCGCATCGCTGTGGATCCAAAGTGCTTCTAAACGAATATTGAATAATGCTCAGGTTGATATTCAACATGCACCAGGAGTAACGCACCTGGTACCCTTGCTTGACGCCGACTTGGCACAGTAGACGACACGCAACTCATTCAGACTCAGCGAAAGACGAGCTCTCCAGCTCATGATGGAATCGCTTTTGACTTTTCACCAGTGACGAGACAGGCGGTCGAAGCTCAGCCACTGATGCGTGCTATAGGTCGAGTTATGGGATCTGGTCCGAAACCGAGCGCTGGCGAAGAATGGAGCAATGTGTGGATTCACGAAACCGTAAAATGTGCCCCCGTACACGCTACAAATCTGACCCCAGTGCACTGTATATGCTCTGTAGAATGCATTGACTGTACACGTGTACAGTGCTGTACTTGCACACGTTTCCAAATATTTCTTTTTATTCAAACTGTCTCCCGGATCATTTCTTTTCCCGAAACACCTGTCTTGCACATCCGTTCAGTGTTGGAAATGGGTCGTCTGGTCGGAGATGGATCTACAAAGCTCGCGTGAAGCTGTTTCACCAGCCGTGTGCAGGGTTATTGTTTTAAGGGAGGAGAATACGATTTTTTTGCAGGTCAAGAGAGCCTGGCACGCATCATACGTGCAAGCCCCCTGAGGATAACTACTGAATCCAATACCTTTGATATGCTGCTTTCACAATGGTAGAAGAAACACTAATCAAAGAAAAACCAGAACTCCTTGCTTTTGTTTCTTTCAAGAATGATGGAACGGTTGTCTCCCATACTGCCATTCCATATGAACTACCGCTATCGAAGGTGAAACAAGTTGTCAAGATTTTTCTTGCTTCTGTATCTGTCTCAGAGGCTTTGCTTGGCCATTTCGAAGAAAGCGCAAAAGGTGCGAATCCAGGCGTCTTACAGCGAACAATGCCTGCCTCAAACGTATCTCAGGTGAAATTTGAAAACGACACCAACTTTTTGGCAACGCCACACCCAGAGTTGGGAGGAGGATGGTACGGAATTCTAGCCAGCGCAATCATTTTGCACGACGCAAAAGTGTTGAGAGCCGTACTCCCATCTCTTCTAGAAGCGGCAAATGAGTTAGAACTTGGACTTTGTGATCTAGATCACAAGTTGTTTAGTTTATGGAACAATATATGGCGGCTGACGAAGGCCAGATTTTGGAGCAACGAAAAGCCTGTCTTACAAGTCAAGCAATCATTGATTGCGCTTGCTGAATCCCAAGCGTATCACGATGACAGTTATACTGAACGAAGAGTTCTGCCGAAGTACGCCGTCAGGCAAATATTAAGGGAGCTGGAACGATTTCGAAGTTGCATATCTGTCATTTCAGGAGAGGAGTCCTGCTGTTGCATACTAATTTCTCCAAACTTGCTGCCGGTACATGTAGAAGAGGTCCCATTTCAAAAATCAGAATCAGTGCTGTGGTACTACGCTAACGTTGTCAAGCCTAGTTCAAGGATTTCAGGAAATTCTTTTGTTGAGTACCTGCAAAACGGGGGCATGCGTCTATGGTACAAATGGAATGAATGGGTGTTATGCACACAGTTTGTCGCTGAGAAAATCGTCACCGATAAGTGTTTCAAAAACATTCGCACAAGTGCAAGGCTCATGCTGCGGGTTCTTTCGGAAATCCCCGAACTCCAGCTTACATACCTAAATAGACGAGGTTGCGTTTCCCACCAGTTCCGTAGCGGAATGCACTAGGGTTTGAAAATACCCACCCTTCTTTGCACACAGCTGGTCGTAGGTACCCTCTTCGACAATTTGACCGTCTTTGACGAAAAGAATTTTGTCCGCTGTTCGCACCGTACTCAATCTGTGTGCAATGATGAGCACTGTGCGGTTCTTCATCACTCTTTCAAGGGCGTTCTGGACAATACGCTCGCTCTCTTGGTCTAAGGCGGAAGTTGCCTCATCTAGGACGAGAATACGTGGTGACTTCACTAAACTTCTCGCAATTGCTATGCGCTGCCGCTGACCGCCGGAGATATTGGATTCTGGGCTCCAAATTGTGTCGTATCCGTCTTTTAGTTTCACGATGAATTCATGGGCGTTCGCTTCAGTGGCCGCACGAATGACCTCTTCATCACTGACATCTTCATCTGGAAGTCCGTAAGCGATGTTCTCCTTGATGGAGCCTTGGAAGAGAATAGGGTCTTGGTCAACGAGCGAGCAGTACCGAGAATATACTTTGTTCGGCAACGATTGAAGGTCTATGCCATCCACTGTTACCGACCCAGACGTTGGGGCGTAAAACCTTGTCACCATGGCTGCGATCGTAGACTTCCCCCCACCCGAATCACCCACAAGGGCAATCATCTGTCCAGGTCGAATTGAGAAATTCACACCCTGCAGTACGGAAGCTTCAGGTCTACTGGGATAGTGGAAACTGACATCATGGAACTGAATTTCACCTTTCAACTTGGTTTGCGGAGAACCTGAAGAGTTAATGAGCTTCTGCGCTCTGCCGAAAGCGTTCGCTTGATCCAAAAGGGCGTATATGCTTTTCAACGACGCTCCGGCTTTCGCGGCGTCTGTGATCGTATAGGAGACACCCTGCATTGCGAAATTCAAAATCCAGATGAATCCTGTCAAGCACGCGAAAGTTTCGTAAGTTATCTTCCCGGCACAAATCATGAGACCTCCCAACACAAAATATGTCATGATAGTAAAGTATATGCCGACTCTATTTGCCCCTTCAGTCATCGCCTTACTCACACCAAACTTGTTTGAATCGACCTCAGCATTGTCAAGGAGATTGCCAAGATCTCGTTGTTCCCGTTTTTCGGCACCAAACGCTTTGACTAATCTGACTCCGCGCAGCCTTTCGTTTAAATACGACTGGATTGTTGAGTCTTTAGCAAACACAGCGGATGCCAGTCGACCGTTTCGCAGCCCCATTTGAGCGACAAGGGTTGCTACCACCGGAACCAGACCGCCAAATATCGGTGCGCCCACAACGCCGGTAATAGAAAGACATAAGGCGAGACCGAGGAATATCTCTAACATAGCGCGAAGACCGCGGTCCCGGCTAAGATTCCCCCAAATACTGTCCCTCACGATACTGATGTCTTTCGAAATGGTTTTCTCAATTTCAAAGCGACCGATATTGTCGAAGAACCCAAGATCATTGCGCAGGGTCTTCCTAAAGAGGGTTTCGCGTAGTTGCCGCAATGATCTGTCGATGCTTCGTGTCACTAATGATACAAAAGTGATTGTACATGTTAGTTCGATACAGTAAACAATGACCAGGCCTCCTGCTTTTCGAAGTAGACTGGACCTTGCGACGGTCTGCGGGAGCGTCTCTGCTCGAGCTAATACGGCGATAATTCGCCCGAGAAGCACAGGTTGAACGACAGCGCAGCAACTGGCCACTAATGCAGCAACTAGAGCAGGCACCAGTATTCTCCAGTTTTGCCACAGCAGTTGCAGGAAGCGAAGTTCAGGGCGTGGTTTTGCAGCCTGGAGAGGAATCAACGCTTGAACATCCTGCTGATGTATCTTCGTGGTACCACTTGTTGCCACAGATGCCACTATAAAAGCCCTTCGCCTCTTTCGAACGTGTGCAAACCGTTTTTGGACAAAACAGGATTCCCTGATTGCAGAATTCCGCAATGCAACACCTCTCGGAACACTCTGCACGAACGCGCTGGACTGAAGGGCTCTTCCCGTCGCATGATGAGACCATTTCATGGTTCTCTAATGAGTAGCACGAATGAGGGAGTTCGGAAGGACCTCGTTCTTCACGGAGACGTTCCGACGGGTCAACAGTGGGATGGGAGACATTCGGCCGATGACAAAAAAGCTCCCTGTCAGTTTTGTGGATTATGATGAGGCAGTAGTGTGTCGTTGAGGAGGGAGTGTGACCTTTGAGCAAAAATCAAAGGTCAACTTTCCTTCAGAATAACGTCACAGCCAATGGTATTGCGCTAATATCATAGAGCCATCTGCAGCAACAAATTGCAACCGAACGTCATGCGGCCAGGGGAACACAGGGTCGATAATTGCTGACCCCAAGTATTTAACCACCGGGTTCAGCAGATGCGCATCATTTTTACCTCCATCCTTAAACTTTGTTTCTTGACAGAGATCAAGATCATTACGCTTCCCATAGGGAAGCATCAGCAGAGCTTTATTCAGAACAGGCATGCTCCCAACCGCGGGAAATTTCAACAGGGTTTTTTTTTGTGTGAGTAGCTAGCTGCGAACGACTACCATCGCTGTTCGATGAGTGCGAAAATTTCGATGCGCAGAAGAGTGTCTGTCGTTGGGACTCCAAGACTATATTAACTTGTCTGACAGAATTGGACGCCGTAGCAGCCAAAAGTAGCCATCTACACGTACTTATCCCAAACAAATGTAACCGCATGGGAAGAGCAACGTCATGGAGAGAGAAAAACTACTCAACATTATAACGCCACTCACTAGGGTCATTACTCAGTTAGCGGCACGGACCTTTCGTGTCAGAGATGACAAATAGGAACGGCAGATACAATTTACAACTCTGCCTGATTGACGATTAAGCAGACAAAGCACTACTCACGTACAAATACTGGAGGGCGATAAGCGGCGCGCATGATGAAGCACAGCCAATTCAAGTAGGAATGAAATGAATTATTCTCAAAACTGCAGGCGCGTGCATCATAACATGCCCGCCGGTTTGCGCTTGTTTCGCTCTCTCTGGATACTGACTCCACCATAGGCTCCTCATGCTTTGGATGTGAGGAAGCCGCGCAATACTTTCAGCTAAATGTGAAGGAAATGCGAGCTGCGACGTATACATTCAAAGTAAATCCATTAGTAGAATAGGACTGAAAGGATACTTGGGTATCACCTGTTAATGCCCAAAATGCGTACAGAATCCATGGCGGGGAGCTTTGCAATGAAGAGAACGACGAAAGCGACGAAATTGATGAAATGGTATGTGTGGAAAGCTGGTGGTGTCGTTTGCACTGCGAAAAGATACAACACACACACAACTGCCGTGCAGAACTTTCGGGACGGCGTGTTCTGCCAGCGATGGTCGAGTTGTTCCCACCAGGTGCGCCTGTCGTTTGATGGCATCGACGCTGCCCAGTACGTTGGAAAAGGGTTTCCTTTAACCCAGTGAAAGATGTAAAAGGTGATTACTGCGTGAGTGACGTTGACAAAGGTCCATGCTTGAAAATCTCGCAAACCAGGGTACAAACCGATCAAGAATCGAACGGTTGCGACAATTCCTAGATAAAATGCCCACGCCGCCGGGGCGTTCAACCACTCGACACCTACGTCGTCAGGCTGCGACCCGTGGCCGGCTTGCATAGCTTGGGACGGCTCTTCTGTCGACGTCAAGGTTGCAGGTACAAGGAAATAATGGGTAGGCCGGCAGCGGAGATGACACTCGTGTGAGAGAATAATGTCTGAGCGCTTTCTTAGGGTAGGAGTGCAAAAAAAGTTGACTGGAGAAATAAAAATGAGGCCTGGGTCTTGATTATTGACAAACGGTGAAAATCTTTAATTTCAGGCACGCTGGAGGGCGCAAACGGCACTTGTTTGGCCGACTTCGCCAAATCCCTCGGGAAAAACAGGTTTCTCGCGCCCTGACCACAACCTGTTGAAGAGGACAACTCCTCTTCACTTCCACGCATACAATCTTGAATGCATTGAAGTAGAAACGCGAAAAAGTGCTGTGGAGCCATGTCACCCATGCCATACTGAGATAGGCGATACCCGGTGGATATGGGGTCCGACAATCAGTTTCTGATGCATGAGGAACACGAATGGCATCACAGCTGCCTTTGCATTTGGCTCGACAGTATACCGCAGAATGCCCTCTCTTCTGCAACACAATCAGAGGTAGCTTTCTCAAATACCGGCACAGCATAAGGATCATTTGTTACAGTGCATATTTATCGTATTGCTATTCGACATCAAGGCAATGCAACCAGATTAGCAGTCAGCAGGGCATCCTTTGAGGTGAGCACTCAAGTTATTTTAAAAAACATCGTCGCAAACACAAAGTGTCGCTACTACTCAGCCACAGTATGAGTCGTCTGGCTACCCAAGAGCGTCTGTAAACCCAGCCCTTAGCCCCATGATTGCATCACGTGCTACCGAGGAGTACTAAAAACCGCTGCTTTCAGAGCCTTCGCTTAGTTGTAGATATAGAACCATAACGTCATGCATCCAACAAAAGCTGAAGGCAAGCCAGCACTCCTGAACGAAGCAGAACAATGTACTGTACCTGTGACCAGCTGTACACGTGTGCCATGCATTCTATGGTATAAAACCCATGCATTGTACAGTACTGATGCAGAGGGGAATTCCATCATTTGTTCCCTTTAGTGCTCTTCTTCTCCAAATCGTTGCCATACCGACCAGAGGCGGTTGTGTTGTAGCTAGTCATGTGATGAGCAATCTGCGCTTCCGCCACCGGAACCGTTCACCAGGGCCTTCATCACAGGTCAATCCGTCTAAACCATCTTCGGCACAACGATCCGTACTGTTCTCATGGCCGTTTCTTTTGATATTGGCTCAGTCCGCCGTCATCCTGGTTCTACTCAGGTTTCTGAACTCTCCTTCTTCCTTACCTGTTTCAGCTCAAACTGATTTTTCGCCTTCAATCCCAACTTTGAGAAAAGGGAAGGATGACACCAACATCCGGTTTGACTGTTTTATCACAATATATGCATACGATCGTCCACGACAGCTATTCGCATTACTGTCAGACATCGCTCGTGAAGCGGATTCTTCCCGCTTGCAAATTGGCGTCAACGTTATTGATGACAACTCATATGGGTGTACGTTTGATCCTGTCGGCGAGAATGTTTTCGAAAGCGCAACCTCTGGAAGCGTTGAACTCAATCTTGTCGAAGTCCCGCTTGAGAACCCTTCAGCATTGCCATGCACTGCACGTCATCGCTTTTTTTACGTAGAAGAGTTGCTGCATCAACGAAAATGGCGAATGTACGTCGCGAAGTACAGGCATGCCCGGAGACGATATTGGCATCTCGTCAGAATGGCTCACAATCTCTTGCGTCCTGTTACCTCCGAGTACTACTTATTTTTGCCAGATGATGATCGCCTCGCTACCGATTTCTTTGATAACGTCTTGGGGTTGTGGCGTGCACTGGATGATACAAGAAAGCTTACAATGATGCTGCATGTAGAAGAAACGAGAGAGCGAGTACCAGTGTGGACAAATTTTAAACCTCGCACTGTTGGTGGAGGGTTACAAAGGATTGGGTGGGTCGAGTCTGGCAACTTTCTATGCACAGAAGATTTCTTGCGATTCATGAATTGGTCGTTTCCGCGAGTACCAGTCAAGCGATGGATAGACAACCCGACCATATCATCTGGAGTTGGTGCTACCTTTTCTGAGATCATTTATAGCGCCGGTTTCAGAATGTTTCGAACACAAAAGTCTTTTGTAGCCCATGTTGGAGTTGCAATGTCAAAGATGAATGCAGAATTTCGACAAAAAAATGTCGGTGCCCTCTTCACGAAGTACTTTGCTGATGGTGATGATAGCTACGGAGCTTTGCTCGCAGAGGCTGCCACTGTCACAGTATCAATCGCATCCCAATGGATACGAGAACCGGCTCTGCATTCTTCCGTCCATAGTCTCGCTTCTCAAGTTGATCATATGAATGTGTACCTGAACGGTTACGACTCAGTACCGCCGTTCCTGATGGCACCGTACGTCACAATTAAGCGCAGCCAAGACCAAACATCAAAAGGAGATATAGGCGATATCGGAAAGTTCTTCTGGTGCAATGACCTGACAAGCGAATTCCATCTAACTGCTGACGACGATATTTTCTATCCCCCTGACTACGTCGAAAAACTTCTCAGTTTCTGGCACTCTTTCAAAAGCCCAGTTGTTGTGGGTGTCCACGGAATTCGTATCAAACAAGAGAACCTCACACCTTCATCAGGACATCGAGGAAAAGGATATTATGGTTCACGAGAAGTGTGGATGGCAACTGAAAGCGTAAAGAAGCCAGTCAATGTACATATCATCGGCACAGGGACCATGCTATACCGAGCGAAAGATATTGGGACCATAGATGTGGCCGATGTATTCAAACAACCAAATATGGCCGACGTATGGTTCGGACTTTTGACACAGAAGCTTAAACTCCCAATGATGGTCCTACCTCACCCTGGCGGTTGGATTCGCGAAGTCCCTGGAACCTTTGAAGATTCCATTTACAAAAAGTCTACTCGCAGCCGACATGCCGAGCGGTACCAGACGGAAGCCGCGAAGAGTATCCCACAATGGACACTATATTCCACCGATACGGGAGGTTCGTGAACTTCTGTCAACCGAGACAATAAGGTAACGAATAACGTACTGTTCACTCTCTGGCCCAACTTCTTCATTGCTCGGGCAGAGACAGTCCTGACCATTCCAACAGATCCTGCATGTGCCCAGGTGGTGGTGCGCAAAAACTTATTCGTTCGTTGCTTTCTGGGTCTCGCAACGTAATTTTCCAGGCATGTAGCTTCAGTCCCTTTCGGAGAGGATTTTTGTCCCCGAATCGAGTTAATTCCGGTTTGTGTGCCGCGGCTGAGATTTCATCGTAAGATGCATACATATTGAACCTTTATTGCATATGAGCAAAGCTTGAAACTGTCAGTATATGGTGCGTCCACGGCCATTGCCAAAGTGCAGTTGCGATGGAAACAAATTCTTACATACTCTTTCTCGTTGTAGAGATCATCGCCTACAATTGGTAGCGAGCATTCTTTAGCATGTACCCTTATCTGATGTGTTCTGCCAGTCTGCGGAGCTGCACGCAAAAGCATCATCTTCTTTTCAGACGACTTGTCAAGGATGGTATAGACTGTTTTTGCTGGTTTGGAATCTTTTCCGGAGCTTCCGACTTCTCGCACAAATGAAATAGTATGTCTTTGGATTGGTGCATCAATTGCAAACGTCGTATCCCGTGCTTCGGGAGAGTACCCATCAACCACACATAAATATTCTTTCTCGACACGCCCCGCCATGAATTGTCGCATGATCGGATGACAAAGTTTCTTTTTCTTGGCAAAAAGGACCTACAAAGCAAATAGTAAGAGCTGGTCAGTTGGCTGGACCTTTGCCAAAGGTTGAATAAAATAAAGATTACAAGAAGTATGTTTCGTACCACACCTGTTGTATGCTGAGGGAACAGTGCACCAGGTCAGAAGAGATGTAGAATTCAGCTTAGACGTTAGTTTCCACGCAAGTCGCACTCCATTCTGCAGTTGTTGCAGCACATGGTCACGTACCATATCTAGTCGGTGCAACAACCATGGGGTAAATCCGCAATGCCCTATGGCCCTGTTCAGAAGAGATCCCCCTTCAAACCTATGACTTGGATGCATCTTTACATAGGACGGTTTGTTCACGGCCAGAAACCGGTCATCCTCGAACACAATTTCCAGAGGCTCTTTGTCTGCTACCAGGGGGATAGACTTGGACTTTCGTCGCAATTCCTCTCTTTGCACAGAAGTCAACTTCGATACATCGATGTTGTATGGTCTGGCCTCCTGCCTTGCTCGCTTCATTTCATCTGCGATGCTGTAGTCGCCGTTGAGATTTGCATCGGCTACCAGTGAACAAAAGAATCGGGAGCTATAGTTGGAAGGCCGACCTCGCAAAAAACGAAACGACTGTCTCAGTACGCATTCACTCGCTATCATGAAAGACAGGGCTTCTATCGAAGAACCTGTCATTGCGCCCGGCATTGATGATATCCTCGTTCAATCCGCCAGACAATAACAGAATTGTTGGTGGTTGCAAGTGGATGATTCTGCGAGACCATGAGATTTAAGGACGTCTACCAAATGAACCGCGGCGAACCTCACCCTTGGCCCAATTTGGTAGGGTCTGAGAGCGTACACGTACTGCGCGAACGTGTTTGCCGATTTCGAGCAGATGTTTGTGATGTGCATAAAGGGGGGTTGCTGGTGTTGTCGGACAGTGACAAAAAAATCGGACATGCAAAATATTTTGAAAAATATCTCCGACACGGGCCAAGGAGCACCGCCGCGCGTAACGGCGCCAGATAGTGCGCCGTATATCAGAACGACGTGGTTCAAATTAAAGAAAAAATATCTCAATCGATTGCTTACGGCTTTCTACAGTACCGCCATTATTTATAGCCGCACCCCCAAGTTGTGCCGTGCTGTGGCACGCAGCACACGTTGCATAAAAAACAACAACATTCTTGATAAAACAATGCGTGCTGAGTCCGAATCTGCAATCAGATTTTGCAAAGCATAAATACTTTTGCAGATATTAATACATGTGTATTCATGGGGTGACATTAAGTAGAGAGTACAGTACATTCTCGCGCCAAGAACTCGGCAACCGAAAGACTCCTTGCCGCGTTCTTTAGCGCGTTAAAAGCCCAATACAATACGCTTCAACACAAGCAGCCTTCAGTGTAAAAAAGTACCCAACAGACCCCCCAATTATGCCGCGCGGTAAATCCTTAACGGCTGAAGAAAAAGGAAAAATTGCGGGCCTGCATGATGCTCAGTGGTCGATACGCCGCATCGCCAAGCATCTAGGCAGGTCCGCAAAAGTAGCAGCTAACTACTTGAAAGCCCCCGAGCTCTACGGAACAAAAAAAGGAGCGGGAGGAAGCCTACGCTGTCTGCGCAGGCAAAAAGGGCGCTGATCCGAGAGGCGCACAAGGAAGAAATGACATCAACAGAACTTGTCAAGACACTCCAGCTCCCTGTTAAGTCCAGCCGCGTGCGTGCAATACTCAGCAGCACTCCCACCTTTCGGTATATGCGCATGGCACGCGCACCAATGATGCTTCCGCGCCACAAAATCGCGCGAGAAAGTTGGGCTCGAGATAAGGTGACCTGGACGCCTGGTGCTTGGGCAAATGTAGTCTGGTCTGACGAGAAGAAGTTTAATCTCGACGGACCAGACGGCTTCGCGTTTTATTGGCATGCCTTACGAAAGGATAGAAAGGTTTTTTCAAAGCGGCAGCAAGGGGGTGATTCGGTGATGGTTTGGGGTGCGTTTGCTGGGAAAAAAAGTGTGAATTGGTCGTTTTAGAAGGGAAGCAGAACGCACTCAAGTATATTCAGACTCTCGAGACCAATCTCCTTCCTTTTGTTGATCAAGAGCTCGGTCCTAGCTGGACGTTTATGCAAGATGGTGCAGCTGTACACCGTGCTAATCGCGTTTACGTATGGTTTGAAGAGAAGGAAGTGCACGTTATGGACTAGCCTGCCAAGTCCCCTGACCTCAACCCTATAGAAAACCTTTGGGGGATCTTGGCAAGGAAAGTGTACGTACATGAAAGGCAGTTTAATAATATCGATGAGCTATTGGAATGTATAATGGACTGCTGGGAAAATATCAACACTGAGACGTTGGATAAGTTAGTAGGGAGCATGCAGAAGCGTTGCTTTGACTGTGCGATGGCCAAAGGTGGCCCTACGAAGTACTGAACCAGAGTTATGGTTGTTTAGAAGCACTGTACTCTATAATTACTGTCACCCCATAAATGGTTTTTGATGCATATCTTCCAAACTATTGATGCGTTTCAAAATCTGAGCATTGTTTTGGACTCGGCGGGCAGGAATGCGTCAAGAACAAAGCAGTTTTTTATGCAAAGTAAGATTCCTTTACCAGCAATGCATATTTGTGGGGTGCGGCTATAATTATTGGCGGTACCGTACGTATAAGTGTGCAACAACCCAAAAATACAAAATAGGCGGACTTTTCTTTTTTATATTTATTTGCTTGGATGTCCGATCTTAGTGCTCGGTTGAGGTGCAAAAGTGTCCGCGCGCTTCGATCTCACTCCTCTTCTGTGTCCGTGGTTGTTTTCGCCAAGTCCCAGTGGACGACAGGCTGAGAGTGTCACCGTCGCAAAACATAAAAAATGGTGATTGCTTGACAATTACAAGTACTTTTTCCTTTTAATATTGAGGTTTTTGTCCGACGTCTCCAGCACCCCCCCTTTACATACAGTATATGGTTGAATCGCTTTACTTGGACACACCTCCGCAACGGCTACTCCAGGATAAGTTTCGGTCACCCTCTGAAGCAACCTTAACACGCAGGAGCGTACTGTAAATTACCGTGTACGTATCTACAGTAAGCCCTGAAGAGACCGCAGTGTACAGTAGAAATATACATTTATCTGGAAGTTTCGCCTCAGAGGCCGTTGCCTGTCCAAGGCAAAGTAGCCTCTGTGCTGTAGACCGTCTTCCGTTGCGCCAAAACGTATGTCGGTGCACAAAATTTTCAAGTGCTCCGTAGATTGCAATAAGGGACAATACCAACGACGTCACCCGACGCTTGTTACGGCATTTTCTCTTGTGAACAGGCATCACATTGTTCTGGAAAGACTCATCACCCAAGTGTTTCTTCTACTGAGCTCCACATAACTAAAAACTAGTTACAAGCAAAGCAACGAAGTGCCTCACCCCCTCAAAATGGCGAATCGTGTGGAGAGGATAGCTCTACAAGTCCAGAAACTTGCCCAGGCAACTGGAATTGAAGATGAGAAGGAGTACCATGGCAAGGATTCTGGCCTTGACGGAGTCACTTCAGACTTGGACATTGAAGCACTCTCTAAGGGATTAATAGACATCACAAAGGACTTCGATGTATATCTTCAAAGTTTGTTGGACCCTCCAAACATGCCCACTGCTAATCTGAAAGCGGTAAGTTTCCATGGTATGTTAGATCTTGGGCGCGCAAGCATTATGCCATGCGACCACGTGATCGCACAAAGCACGTGCAGTCTCCCGCATCAATGGATTGCCCAGATTTTCGAATCGCCTGTTTTTGAAATCCTGTGAATCTTTTACCACTCCATGTCCTGCGACTCTCGAATGCACTAGCAACTCTAGCTAACACATTTTTCCTTCGTTTCAATATAGGACATCGCTGCTCTGGAGCGTGAACTACAGGAGAAAGATGAGCTAATCGAAAAGAATGTCGAAATGCTGAAGAAAGCGGAAACATCCCTCCGTAAACTGAAACGAAGGCAGTATCGGCAAATTTATCAAATGGCGACTCCATGATGCCGTGAAACCTTTTCGTCAAAGCCGAAATGTGCCTTTGCGGCAAAGCTGTGGATAGTGTTTTGAAAAGTGGAAACCTCCACATGTGCCCAATGTATATAGATGTAGTGTCCAAAATGTTAAAGCTTAGGCAATGGCTTTGTCCGGACGATGTGTGATAATAATGAATTGATAAACTCTTGCTGAACTACAAACGAATCAAATCTGGTGCTCGTCCATGTCGTGGAGGGCAACCTAATCTGGCCGGCTCAAAAGACCCAATCGTCCAACTCGGAGCCTCCGAAGCCTTTGTTCTTTACTTCACCAGGCTTCTGCCCCCCAGCTGGTCCCAACGTCGGTGTTGTCCCCAAACCTCCCCAGAAATCATCGTCATCATCTGAAGAAACACTTTTTTTGGATTTGGACTTCGTGTTCAGGTTGGAGACGTCTGCGGATGGGCCTGGGAGTACGCTTGCTTTCGGGGAGGGCTGATCCCATATATCGTCGTCATCGTCATTTCCAAGACTGATGGGTTCTGTCCTTGTAGGAGGGATTGCTGCAGATGGTAGCGTAGATGCAGGTGCTGGAGGTTGAGCGGGAATAATAGGCGATAACTTCGCCGCGACCGACGGTGAGACGGATGGCGGCCTCGGTGGTTGAAATGCAGCGGGGGGAGCTGGAACGCGTGTCACTACTGGCGACACCTTCGGAGAACGGCGTGTGCCGTACGAGTCAACATTTCTAGCGGACTGCTCATTCACACTCGACGATATAGGTGTCGCTGAGAGTGATGCTTTCTCTAGCTTAAGCCGCTCCATTTCAACTTTCATTTCCTCCATTTCGCGTCTGGCTCGCTCTACTTCCAATCGCTCCTTCTGTAGGGCTTCACGCATTTTCTCCGCTTCTTGGGACTGCACAAGATGATCAGACGGAGGGGGCGGAAAATGGGGCACTGGGTGATTTGGTGGTGGCATCTGTTGTGCTGGTGAAAGTGTCTGTGAAGGTGGAGCGCGCCGCGCTGGCGACAATGTCTGTTCTTGATGTTCCATCTCGGGGTGCGAAGGCGGCTGACGAGTTGTGTGGGTCTGACTTGTCGGAGAACGGAAAACGCTTTCCTGTTGCGACGGAGATGCTTGCGGCTGCAAACCATGAGGAGGAGGTATTGGAACGATCACGGGGGTTTGGCCTGGGGATTGCACATGTGCCTGTTGGAGTTGCTCAAGAGGATTTGCCTCTGCAACCGGCGCCGGCATATCTTGACCCTCAATCCTTAACCAGTTCGGGCCGCTAGGATCCATCATGGATGGTAGTGCCGTGACTGTGAGACGCTTGTTTCGAATGTTGGAAACCATGTGCATCGCAATGCGAAATTCTTCTAGAGATAGCTTTCCATCCCTCGTGACATCGGCAAGCTCCCAAATTCTCTTCAAAGTAGGCCTCGGTAAACCACTTTTCCCAAAGAAAGTGACGCCTTGCTTCCCATCTATCATCCCAGTCTGGGCAACATCAAGGCTCTTGAAGAATGAGTCGTACTTTGCGATTACTGCAAGGGGCACCGTCCAAGAGAACGCATTAGTGTTCTCAGGCGCTGTGACCGTTACTGCAGGTTCCTTCTTCACTTCAGGAGCGATATTTGGAATCAAGTTGATCCCTGAGAAGTTTCGTAGTCCAGACACAGAAAGTTCAGCACCACGTTGGGCCAAAGCTACCAAACGAAGCGCGATATAAAACTCATCTCGGCCTAGAGAACCTTCCTTCTGATGATCAGCGACGTCCCAAATGCGACGCAACTGACCTTTCGACACCTTCGCGGCACGACCCAAAAATGCAACTGCGTCTTTCCCGCCCACAGTTTCGTTATCACCAACCGCCTGTGCCCAGTACTCACCGTATTTTACTTCCTCGCCAGGATTTAACTTCATGTACTGTTTCGCCTCTTTTCGCAACACAGTAGTGCACAGGACACGTCAAGTGGTTAGTGACCGGAGGTCTAAAACTTGGAGCAAGACCGATTCAGATCATCGCGGTTGGGATATACGTTTGATCAAGACAAAGACTGACTTATTTAACTTACCGTGAACTTCCGGACCTTCTTGTACCGGCGCTTCGAAGAGGCCGTTGGCACCGCGCTGAGCCGGTCTCCCAGCCAATGGACCCTGACCTTGTGGGTAACTAGTCGGAAGCGGCTGCCCCATCTGCATCCCTGGAGCAGCTGTCATGGGCGGAAACATGCCCGGAATAGCTGTGGAGTAAGCATACGGTGGTGCATTGGAGAAAGGCGGAGGAACGTTCCCATAGGGAGGACCGCCCCCAAAGCTCATCGTTAAAGGCAGTTGATTAAGCCCTCACCACACTCAATCTCACCACTCGCAGCACGCAACAACCCCAAATGTTTCGCAAAGTCTCTGATAAAAACGGTTTCCCGAGACAGTTTGCCACCTCGGCTCTCAAGGATAGCATATCTTAAGCGGAAGCTGAAGGTCAGGTGGGGGGCGTCACATCCATCACATGCGCATGGGCAATGGCTCCATGCACTTTCCAGCCAATGAAATTACGAAGCTCTTCTATACAAGGTAATATTTAATTGAAAACACGAGTGGGATATTGCCGCATCATCGATTCGGCGGTGACGATGCACGCTTCGTCTTTGAATGCGTCTTTGTCTTTGAGAATGCTGCTTCTTCAACACCCTTGGTACTGTTGAGAGTAGTAAACATGGAGATCAATTGCACCAGTGTATACTGTGGTGGAATTGAGTTCTCTTCTACACTATCCAGCCTCCCCAACCCTGCAAGAGCTGTTCGATCAACCGCATATGCTCAGAATTGTGTCATTGAAAGCAGTACGAGGATATCTCGTGAGGTCCAAAATCTAAGGTCTTATTCTCCGTAAATGCATATGAACGAGACGAACATATTTGGACGGGTGCACCAAGGGCAGCATAACGTGAAACAGATGCCTTCTGGAGGAGAAACAGAAAGTATACTTTTCATCTGGAACAGGCCCCCGGCTATATTTTACGCTAGCACGCCTCTAAGCTGTGATGAAATTTGTTTGCCCCTCCAATTTTCCCACGACACTCTCTAAAGGTGATGTTATACAGACCTTTAGAACTGATCCTAATGCTTCTTCGCAAGATAGAAAAACTCAAGTAGTAGATACTACATAATTTCTGAACCCATTTTGAACCAATCCAAAACAATTTAAGAGAGAATAGCTGTCCTCAGCTGCATTGAGCCAGCACTGGCATTCACGGAAAGAGGGGAGCGCTTTTATTGCTGCCTACGAGCATGGATCTTGGGGGTTCGAAGAGAGCCCTGTGCATAACAAGGCTGGGTTAGGGATACTCTGCTTTCTAGTCTGCCGCCCTGGGCATGTCGTTTCCCTCTGTCGTATTATGCCCGGAGCGCGGTCCGTCCCTCTATTCAATACCCGCGGCCGTCCAACGCATGCACCGTATGGGTTATACGGTACACATAGTAGTACGGGGTGCAGTAGCCCTTGAGGACAGCTTTTGCCGTTCCGCGTGCCAGGGTCTACGGCAAGAGGAATCCCGTAGTCGGACCCAACTTGCCTCGCAAGGAGCCATAGTGTCACTGCACACAAGGAGACTCTTCACTGTGTCAGTACCTGAAACCAGGCTTGAGAACAAAGTTACAGAGCCATGGGTTCGTTTGGGTATGATATCAGTATGAGCAAATTTTGTCGCGGGGCCGTTGTTCTGGGAACTTCCCTTAACTGATGAGAGTTTAAGAAAAGCGAGGGCCTAAGAAGCATACGGTAGGATACCCTTGGGTATTTGTTAAGAATTTAAAAGTACAAGGGTACTGTATTCCTGGCAAAACCGGGAAAGGCAAAGCAAAAACCAGCCTGTTAAGACACACCCTCAGGGTGTGTATTAACAGGCTGGTTTTTGCTTTGAAGTGCTTGCAAAGCAGAATGCCGCAGCTACAGTACGTGTATAGTATACACGTACAATATACTGTATACACTGTATACAGTATATTGTGCGTGCTGCCCCAATCCGTTGCATTACAGTATACGCACAGATGCAATTACAGTATTGTATAGCGGAGCGGAGGAGAATTCCGTCACAACTCACAACGTCGCAAATTGTCGATGTCAAGAAACCGTCGACTTTGAAACCACCAATGGTATCCTGTTGGATCCTCACTACAGTACTAGTCGTGTGTTGGGCCCAGAAATTTCTACAGAAATTGCCAGAATACCACTTTACCATTTTTTTGGCCAATCGTCGCTCAGAAAATCTAGCGGATGTCCGCTGTCCACAGCTGCCACTTTTGACGAAGTGGAACCGCTCTCGTGGGGTGGGATCACTTCGCCAAAACCCCTGAACAATAGTTTTTGCGCCAATACATCCGGGAACTGCAAATTCCCTTACACTTCCTTTCGTCATCCTTCCCTGTCCTACTCCCCTCCAACTCAACCTTGCTCACAACTTCCCGCCCCTCTTCCCCCCTCTTCAATGCCTACGGCCGATCCGATGAGAAGCCCTGTTTTCAAGAAGGCATCTTTTGTGCGGGGCAATAGCTGCGTACACAATCTCACTCGTTTTTTATCACATCTAGAAAATGACGCCTGCTCGTAATCGTTCGCGCAAAAATCTTTAGTATGTGCAGGGTGCCCTGCTAAGACCCGTCAACACACGAATGACGACACCGTGGAATCAAATTTTGTCATGCGGCAAAGAAGACGATTTCCGGTCGTCAAGAAACATGGAAACCAGTACACTGTAGTGAAAGTGGCCGTTACTGTGTGATGGTGGGCTTTAGGTCGCGAGTAATACTGTACACAGCTGGCGCCGAAATCATGGCTTTGGCGATTTGACGAAGTGGCGGCGGCTTATTTTTTCAAAAGACAACCAGAATTTTGCGAAGTGGCGAAATAGTAATTTCTTGGTGGACCGACAGTACTGTAGTCTAAAACAGAACCGCAGGATGACCAGTGCTAACTGGACATGTGTACAATCACTTTCCAGGGGTACTGTACCAATCAGTCGTATCAGGTCTATTAGAAATGATTTAGTCTCGATCTACATGTTTATTCTACCTATGATGAGCTCGTATCCATGCTCCCCATAGTGATCGATCCCGAAAGCCCTCCCCAGCTGGTTAATTCTCATTGAGTGGACGTTAGCTGGTTACCGCGACGCCACTGCCATCCCATACTGTCCACTCTTCTTATCATTCTTATCAAGGCCAAATCGAAGCCAACAACGCTCCTCCCATCGTCAGCCCAAATACAGTGAGGAGACAAGTTGCAGAGTTCGCAGGTAATGAGCGCAGACACGCAAGGCGAGACGGTGACAGTAACCGTTCATTTCTTCGCTCGCGCTCGTGAACTAGCTGGGACGTCATCGCAATCTTTCCATCTTCCAAGAGAGACCTCGCCAAAAGCAATTCTCGAGGATCATATTTTAAAACAATTCCCAGACGTCGCCATTCTCTCCGCTCATTGCATTCTTGCCTTAAACCACGAGTACCTTTCCGTCGAGAGTGCTGGAATCTCATTAAACGACGGAGATGAGCTCGCCGTCATCCCGCCAATTAGCGGCGGTTGATGCAAATGAGTCTGATGATACTGTCAAGCTGGTGTCGGTCCCGCTCAGCGTTGAGGAAGCCTCAAACGTTGTTAGCAGTCCGCATGCAGGTGGAACATCGATTTTCGTGGGAACTACCAGAGATACTTTTGAGGGCAAAGGCGTTATCTCTCTTGAGTATGAAGCTTATGACGCGATGGCGGTAAAGGAGATGCAGGCGGTTTGCCGCGCCACCCGACTCAAATGGCCACACGTTATCAAACTCGCCATTTTCCACAGAACAGGTCTGGTTCGTGTCGGTGAAGCATCCGTTATTACCGCCGCCTCTTCACCGCACCGCAGAGATGCCATAGGTACGTATCTTGCCTTCGGTTTGATGCTGACCGCGATTTGTTAGTGTTTACTGCGCTGCCGTCGTATCTGACTTCGTACCTACAACTGTGTCGTTTGTTGCGAATGCTTATTAGACGCTTGTCATTTTTTGATTGATGAGCTCAAGGCGACCGTTCCCATCTGGAAGAAGGAACTGTACGATGACGGGTCTGCTTGGAAGGCTAACAAGGAGTTCCAGCATGCGCGAAAGTAGAAATAGTGATCCGAAATTGTTAAGATATGGCCAATACTCATATTTCACATGTTCTTCGTTTGGAGAAATATACATTGAGCAACAACGGATGAGGAATGATGTAGAAGTAACCTGATGATGCCATGAACGGGTATCGAAACATAGATATTCCATGCCGTTTGCATTTCAACTTTAGTTAAAGAGTGTTATTTACAGCTGTATACATACATATAACAAACGTAGGGTCGTTTTATCGGCCCTCGCGCAAAGGATGGTAAACATCAAGGATGCCAGTACGCTCTAATATGACGTACTCCTCGTATCGTTCCACTTTTTCGTCGAAAGCATCTAGATCCTCCCAAATCATCTTGCGTCGCTCAGCAACAAACGTTTCTGCTAATTTGCAGTCACAGAGAGTAGACTTTGACACCCGCAAAGTCGGCAAAAATCCATTCCTGTAGATTGCTCCGCGTCTAATGACGGCATGTGACTCTCGACGAAAGCCCTCATCCAGCTTCCCCACGTCCCGAGCGATTTGATCAACCCGTGGTGCTTCAACGCAGCATACTCCAGCAATGGTGCCGTTGTGTGCACATTTGCGCATGAGGCTTTCCAGATATGCGAATGCTTCAGAAGTAGCCTCTTGGTTGATATTGACAAGGCCATCTCGTGGATAAGCTTCGACTTCATCGTTGTCAAAGGGCGACACGATTGTCTCTAGCCGTTCTACAAAAAGACTCATGCTTGTTGATACCACGCGTAGGGCAGTGAGAGCTCGGCCATGGTCCTCATATGCTGCGAAGATTCTTTCTCGCATCAAGCGTACTTCTGCAAGATCTCGTTCTGCTTCAATTCCTGCCTCAGTCATATCGGCAGTATCCGGCAGCATGTTCACAGAAATAGGATCGTCTTCCCAACCTGGCAAGCTTCCATAAAATTGATCAAGCATCGCCATGACTTTGTCGTGAATGTCACGTCTTTCCTGTAACCTGACTTTTGCTTCGTGAAGCTTGTCAGCCTCAACATCAGCAGCCAACTGGGCTTGTTTGAGGTCCGCCTCATATGATGCAATAACTTCTATGGGATTCTCTTTGAGACGTTTTAGAGCTTCTTGGTCAAAAATTGAAGAAATAGGTGCCTCACCTGAAGATCCCGTAGAAGTGTCCTCTGCAACTGATACTTTACTAAGCCTTCGTATCAGGAGTGAGCCGGCACTCCCAAGCCGTCTGAGCCGTGCAGATGATTTCCTTGTGAGCTTGTTCAGCTCAATTTTGCCCTTGCTCGGACCTGGCGGTTTGTGTTCTCTTCCCGGTGGTCTATTGTCGTCATTACGGTGTTCATGCAAGCTCTTTTGATTCACCCGTGATGCAGAACGCATTGACGCTGTTCGCAACTTGATTCCGCTCACAGTTCTATCGCCAATGTGTCTACCGGGCTTTCCAGGGACCCGTCGAATAAGGGGGTTCCGTTTGGCAGAACTGTACCGAACCGATTTCTCATTGACCCCCGTGATTGCCTTTGCTTCTTTCAATTGTGCTCCAGCAGTCTGCACCGTGACAGAATAGGTGCTTAGTTTGTCGCTGTGGGTACTGACCAACTCCTTCAGGACCTCGATGGTCCCTAATTCGTCGCTTTGTCGGAAGAGGTCTCGCAGTTCGGCGATTTTGATTCGGATGCGTTTCTCGATCGGTATGAGCTGCAATATGTCATTGACCGGAGCCATCGCCTTGTTCCTTTGCAGTGTGTCAAAATCGAGGCCGAGATCGTTGGCCACGGAGTTAGGGCGATGGGTAGTGTTGGCAGTGACTCTCGACTCTTTTGCAGCTCGTGCACGTCGACGAGTGCGAGACGCAGGGGATGGCTTAAAGTATGGAGAGGGTCGATACACGTCATAGTTGAGGGCCGTTCTGTCTGGTCGACGGACAGGCAAAGTGTCATAGTTGACTAGGAAACTCGCCGGGGCTCCAGAACTCGGAGACGTCGTCTCCGGCTGTGGCGGTGATTGTGTCTCGAGGGACTTGCGCGACCGCCGTGCCGCGGATCGACGGGCTTCCTTACGACGCGAGCGAAAAGTGAATCGAAGCATGGCAGAGTCGAAAGCAAGACTTGATTCATTTGCGCAATAGCCGAGGATTTATTTTTGGGGAACAAAAGGAGACCAGACCAAATGCGGACGCAAGTTGACTCGTGGGGCGGTCGCGGGAGAAGCGAGAATGATAGACGGGCGGTGTTGATATCAACATGAATCGGTAGAAAGGCGAGGAGCGGGAAGGAGAAACAAGGTAAGACGGGGAAACAAGGGAAGGGTCACGGGATGCACCTGACCGTTATCCTACAACAGAAAGAGGTAAAAGTCTCGTGTGTGGCGAATAGAGGGGCGGAAGGAGCAAGCAAGCAGAGGAGCGGTGTGTTTGGAGGCCATGAAAGAGCAGCGGAGCGAAGTGATCCGCGTTACGAACAACGTCAGAATCAGCAGCAGAACAAGCTACGCGGCGTACGCGGCGCCCGTTTCTGTATCGGATGTTTGAATGACGCGTCGCCATTGGTCGTAGGCGCGCGATAGTGTGCGTTCTCAAGGACACAAAGTCAGTTTTGGGACGGCAGCTGTCGCATGAAAGAAAGCTGGGAAAGCTTCAAATCCAAATACATCTCCAGTCGTAAGTTTTATCCCTATCACAAAAGCATCCTGCCCCTCGAGACGCAGCGGTGCGATTGCGCCCTATTCTCTTTCCCTTCCTCTTCACCACCTTCCGTCAGAGCATTCATGCATTTGTAAGTCCAGAACTATAGGTGCCACGTGTAGTGGGTTTTCTTCTACACTTCCGCGCTGTGACCCCCTGTGATGGTCGTCAGGCGCAATCTCCGTATTTATACATATCGTGCCGCTCGTCACGCGATGCCTCTATCAGCCACGTTCTGTCGGCTGTCTGGCACCCTCGCCGGACTGACGATATTCTTCGAAACTTGTGGCGCTGTTCTGTCAGAGAAGAGAATTCCCCTTTCCCCAATGTGCACGTTGGCTGATGTGTGCTTGACTTTCTCTCGTAACGTTCGACGGTGAGCCCGAGATTTTTTTTTCACCCATCAATTTGATCCGATTCAGAGAGATACAGTATGTCACATGCGTGTCTCTCTCCTTGGACACGTGTCGTTTCTGATCGTCATTTCGTGGGAAAAACGCGGCGTCGACAAGAGACTCGGAAAAAGATACAAAAAAAAACATACAAGAACTGAAGAAACCGTCATTGCAACACTTTTTTGAAATAATAGTGTATAATATTGGCACCCGGTCGCACCGATACTATGGGGTTTTCAAACTTGTCAAAGAGCCTACACCTCTTCAGCAAAAGGAATCAGCTGCGTCACCTTCATACAGTATCAGTGCCGGCCAAAATGGCTGGCTGGCTTTTCTTGGTTCATCTTGCCCCTACCCAGTCATGACACGTGTGCCCAGGTTTTGAAACTGAGAGCAGGGGGGGCACCGCATGTTTTTGTATTGCACAGTACAACGTTCCCTTCGAAGCATGGGCATGCACAAGAAGATAGGGATTATTTCTCTCGTCGTTTTTGCCTCCAGCGAGGAGCAGTACACTGTAGTGATTTAGAAGCCCATATCCTTGTCCAATACGAAGCTCTACGCTCCCCTTCCCCCCAAAACAACTGCCGAGGTCTACGCAGTTACGGTATTCAAAGGTAGAGAGAGTAGACACAGGCGTGCTATGAAACTCGACATGTTGTCAGCGGTTGTGAGTGCTGTTTGTACAACATATCATGCAACAATTGTAATTTGATTCAATGCACCGCTCACGGGGATCAGTGGGTTTACGCATTACGAATTCTGCAATGATTTGTCCAAATTTCTGAGTGTGCCCTCGCTTTTTGCGTACTGTACTAACATTCTACTGTACCCTTGGGTACAGTACCCAAGGGTACAGTATTTCGCCCAGCGCTCATGATAAACCCACTCGTTTTGTATACTGACAACAAACTCAACAGTATTTGCACCTCACCCACTCAATTTAAACTGCCTCAATTTCGACGCCCTCTATGGGTCATAGTATGTATGATACAGGCGACCCCCTCAATTAGTGCACCCCCGTGCCATGCGCATTCTTTGTGCACTATCTTCAATGTGCTTTATCTAAGGGGCTCGCTAAAAAGTAGTTTACGGGGCAACGAAATGTTCCGTTACCAGCGTTTGCCGTCGCTGACGCTTCGTGTGTTCATTATAGACACGGCTCAACGCTCGCTTAGCAAGATGTTGCATATCGTTCTTGGAGAGCAGTTGAAATCACGCTGCAAATCGACGTGCCGAGCACCCTGTGAAAGTCGCCGCAGCACCACCTCTTTTTGCGAAAGGGTAAGGCGGGTTCTTGACGCCCTGGATGCTGGTTCAGTTGTGCTCATTGTGTGATTAGTTATTCGAAGATGCATAAGGTTGCTGGGATCTGTAACAGAATGGAACCCGCTCTCTATGGACGGCGACGACCATTGTGCTCCCGTGAACAACCGTGTACACTTGTACAAAGTCGTGCCAAGCTATCAGAGGGTGCATTAAAGTCCAATATGCACTAACTAAAAGTGCACTAATTAAGAGACCCCCCCTGTAACCCCCCACGCTCCTAACCTCGTTCTAAAAATATGGGGTCGCAAAGATTGGAACAAATTTATGGTTCACTCCTAGAGCACCAGTAGAAAACCAGATCGCCGCCGGAAACGGCGCAATAGAAGCATCTGATACAGCGCAGTGTGGTCGTGACGTTGCAAATTCCTCACAACGGCAGTGGGTCTCGCCCGGGGCGGTCAAAAACTCTAAGTCTAACACCGACCCCATATCTGACCCCATAAAATTCATTTATGACCCATGTGACCCGTGCCCAGGGGGGTCACGTACAGTAGCAAGTACGCATATAATGCCACTACACTGGCCACAATACCTTTGAAATACCTTTTCAGGGCCCTTTCTAGGACTCCCAGCTCATCACAGTGGGAGCATCGCACTTAACTTTCCTTGCGAGACTCATCAAGTCCACCCCCTTCC